ATCCTCTGGCTAAGATGTAATTTTTATTTATTTATTTTTTTGAAATAGTTAGCAGGTTTACATTCTAAGCGTACGTTCACACAGAAAGAAAAGTAGCAAAGAGGACCTAAGCCTAGCTTCAGGTGTTCACACTGAATGAGGCGGAGCGGAGTTTTTTGCGTGAAATCGACTGCTAAGATATCAAAAAACTTACCTTCAATGAAAACTGGCGAAAATACCTTATCGATTTGCTTCAAGAGATTTGTTGAAATATATAAAGTTTTAAAATAATTTTGACTTTTTGTTCCCAGCAACTTCATGAAGCTAAAAAGTCCAAAAGAAAGCTAAAATCAAAAACCAAGGTCTTTTAAAATTTGGCCGAGGAAGCCACATGAATGAAATCGTATTCCGTATATATTATTTGCTCTTTCAGATACGCCAAAAATATACTGAAAAAATTGATTTTTTTCTTTTCTTCGAGTGGATTTTTCGGCAAAATTTAAATTTATTGCTTTAATGCTAAATTGTTCATAAAGTGTGGCCGATTTTTACAGAAATGTACATAGGGGCATGTTACCATACTTATGCACATGTTTTTAAATTAATTATATATAACACCAACCACATAACACGCACATACATACATGTACCTTGTTATATAGTTAGTGTGTTCCACCCTACTCGTAACTTTCAATATTTTTGCCACTACTATGCCGCTTCGAGCGGATGCTGTCTTAATTTCAGCGCTTCCACGAATGTCTTTGTTCCCCAATGTCAGCTACTAATGTATGTTTCTACATGTAATTGCTAGTGCCCCTTAAACATTGGTTTGTACATAAATATTTGCTTTATTGCTTGCCAATTTTTTACTCACACATTTTAGTTCAATTCTGTGGAAATCTCACTTGCTACAGTTTTTCTAAGTAACCCGCAGATAATATATATATTTTATTTTAGTAACACCTTTGAATATACTGAACTGTGTATGGTTAGCAAGTTTGTTGCTGAAGTCTTTTGTTTCATGTTCTTTTTTTTAATTTTTCTGTTAATTACAATTTTGCTGTTTCATCTACGACCTGTGTTCGTTCGTATTTGAATTAATTAACACATTGTGTGTGAATTTTGTTACAAGAAATGTCTGCTTATAAATAGTATGTGTGTATCTAATAATAAGTAATTGCATACCTAATACATATATATGTATACACATGGATATGTACATAGTAGGAGTTAAATTAAATTTCTGTAAACAATTTACGTCGAATACCTACATTAGCTCCCATTTCATGTGAAAAAACTTTACACACGAAATCTTCTCTATTTTAAGAAAAATTTTGAGACTAAAAGTAATTTTGGGCATGCCAAAAACAATCACGAACATAAAAAGCAAGGTTAAATTAAGTGACGCGTATAGCTGTAGTAGAAGTAGGTATTCACCACTATGCTTTTGTAAATTAATTTTTTTTGTTGACCACTGATTTTGAATTTAGACAATATGGCGGAAACTTGTAATACTAAGCATGGCGTAGTTGTATGGTTGTTCTTTTGCAATTTGTTACTATGTTTGAGACCATCCATATATTTCTTTTATTTATACAAAATAAAGTAAGCCTCGTTTTAATGTATCCCGATTAAAAACTTAACCCGTTTAAATTCCCTAGGCTTTTATTTTCATATTATTGGAACGCATACATATTCTCTGTTAACGAGAAATTATGTTAACATGTCTTTCTCTGTGTGTTAACTTAGCGGATTTACAAAGGATATGGCAACTAGCAAAAAAATGGGGCAAACGAACTTGCAACTACATGTATTCCTGTTAAATCGGCATAATTTCCTTTTCAAAAGTCTGCCCAAGGCCAGTATAGTTTTAAGACGCCTATTAAGGGGCGATATATTGTTGGACTAAACCGAAGCTCGTTGGCTCAAGAACCATTGCTAAACCACTTCGAGGGCATATACATGCTTTGGAGGTTGGGGTCCTACTGAATTTAAGTCCAGAGACAACGGATGCCGCAAAATTGCAGCTTAATTGCCTACAATATACAAAAACACATGACAAGTTAACTAATATTTCAGTACAATAAATGGTACATTCACCGATGGCAGAGTAATTAAGGAAACTTCGTAGATGTTTTCTGTTTGCTCGAGCAGTGCTTCGTCTTTTGTGGTGAAGTAAAATTCGGATAAACTCTCGGAAGGCCTAAAATAATAAGTAATTTTTAAGCAAAGAACAAATTCCCATATACAAATTTAAGATTGTCTTTAATTTCTCACAGATCCAATGGTCCGAATTTGAATGAAGCGAATTTAGAAGCAGGTATGCCTTCAAAAGTTCCTCATAGCCAAGATAGTATCTTTTATGGGAAGTAAACCCCCGCCTACTTACTTGAAGGCAGTTGCTGTGAGTACGAGTATTATTAACACGAACTCGTAAATCTTTCCTATTTTAATTTTGTATGCTTTCTAAAGGGCTAAAAGCAAAAAATTTAATTGGCTAATCAAATAAATGTTAATAGTGATATGTGTTTTTAACTTCTACACATCTAACTGCTACTAATAATCCAACTGCCCATCCTAAGTACACAAAAGCTGCTCTGTCTGCTCGCTCACCCACACAACTCAGAAGTAACAATCATATCATTGCCTCGAGTGTTACGGAGCAGTTTCGCTTTCCTTTGACGCCACTGCCCCTGTAGACGTAAAAAAGTTTGCAGGCAAATGAAAATGCGAACAATTAACAAGCAACTTACCCAATAAATTATCAAACCGAACTCGGACCCGCGCTGAATACAAACATAAATATATACAGTGGCGGAAAAAGTATTAGCAACAAAAAAATGTTAACTATTTTTGGATATTTTTCTTTCGTTTATTTATTGTTTAATAATTTATGATAAGAGTATAAATCATTACATAAAAGCTGCATATAAATTAACATATCAGACTTTGTAGAGAATTCAAATTAAATCTAAAAGTATTTAAAATTTGTTATCAAATTTTTTAACCTTTTAATCGCAGCCTTTGGAAAAAATCTGAGCATGAAGTTTGGTAGTCCATTGATTTGTAATACAATAATGTGCAAGTTTTAGGTGGCTAAAGTATACCGATGATTATACCAAAAATTTAATGGGCTACAAAACTGCGTACCCAGAATTTGTCTGTAAAATCTGATTAAACAGTTAACAAATTTTAAATGAAGTTTTCAAAATTTTTTGTGAAAGTTTGAAGTTTCGGTCTTATGCCGATTTTTCTTAGAGAGTTACTGTCAGTTTCAAAAGCAATTTAAATGAAAAATTCAAAAAAAAAAAAAAAAATTATTATTTTTCTCTTAGATAGCTTTCGGGAAACTGGCTATTAGAATTTTATGAAAAATTAAATAAACAAAAGAAAAATATTCAAAACTTTTTCAAACTTTTATCTTTTTATTATTTTTTCCACCACTGTATGTATGTACACTTACCCTCAACAAAGTAATTACGGCTACTTAGCCTGAAAGTAGGAGTCAAATAGGCAGAAGTTAATAACTCACTTTGCTTGTTGGCAACTTTAATTTTTAACGGCGCATAGAGATGCATCCTTGTGCAAAAGTAGTTCCACCCGGCCGCCAACGACTGCACAAAGGCTACAAACGCACATTTCTAAGAGTCACATAAGTCATACATGAGGAGTAGGCTACTATAGTTCCATCTAGATATGTATGTATGTACATATATGGGTCTATGAATGTAAATTAGTTTTAATTTAGTAGGAAAGTGCAATGCTGTGGACTGATTGCTGCCATCGTTTGCCTTGCCCAGTTGCCTCAGAACAAACACATATATTACGAGTACATACATACAGTACATACGCAGAATCCGAAGTTTAACTTGAAATTTATAGTTCGAGGCTAGCTAACAGCCAACAACAATGCAAGCAAAGGGTAAAACAGCGAAATGCCATAACATCGATGAATTGCTGCGTCCAGTGTAAAACTCATTAGAGCGGGTCGTAAATATGTTTTGTTGTGGAGTTTTCAATGCGAGCCATGTTTGTATATGCAGCAAATGCAGTAAGATAAGCTAACTTCTTTTAACACTTTTATTGCTATTTAGATTTATTGAAGCTTTAACATTTCGCTCGTTACTTTTGTTATATATAAATGAAGAATTTATTGGTCTGCGCAAAAGATGTAAGCAAAAAAAGTAGCCTTGTCTAATATTTCAAAGTGTCGGTGAGTGATGAAAGGACTCTTAAGCTGAAGTAATTTATTTAAACTTTTTGAAGTGGCAGTAATAGTGGTTACGTTACCAAAAATAGAATACATCCAAAGTATTTTTTCATCGAAGTTTATAGTTATAAAAATTTCTCGAGTTATCCAAATGAAGCAAGGAATAAATTCATATCACACCTAGGGCTCGCGTTCGGATTCCGGCTAAACCCGCCGAGCACGAAAAAAATTGAATGGATTTTTATATAATGCAATAGGGACCTACCAACCTATAACTGGAAGGTTGAGAAGATAGAGGAGCCGGTAGCAGGCAGCAGGCAAGTGTTGCTGATCCTCAACACCGAATCGCTTGGTCCGCTGGCGCAGAAGGATTGGGTAGTGAGATGCGGGTTTGTTGACGCAACGCTTCGAATCTACCGCAGCGACAAGACCGGGCTGCGAAGCGGTGGTGAATTAGGGTTGCCCAGCAGCCAGTGTTCATCCGACTCTGAGAGGATAACTGGTTTGGGACTGTGGAATATGCTCTCCTATATATGTGTACATACATACACCTAATATTCTCTCTTACATACATACACCTAATATTCTCTCTTATGTATTACTTGCATGCTTTATTACTGTTTTGCATATTTTATGTATCTACGGTAGTCAGTACATGCTTTAACCTAATAAAGTTAGTCTTGAAATAGAGCTCATGAACGTCGGTTGTTTTATTCGCAAACGTTACATGGTGGCAGCGGTCCAAGTGCCCTACGCTGATCGAAGCAGTTACGCAATAAACGACTACTAAAACATAATAGCGCATTTAGCAATGCCCACAGAAAACGCGGAAAACGGCCCGGTTAAGATTAGCACAAGCAGCTTTACGGTACGGTCGCCTGATGCCTTTACGTTTAGCAATCCCGGAGAGTGGCCAAGATGGCTCCGGCGATTCGAAAGATTCCGAATCGCGTCGAAATTGGATAAATCTTCAGAGGATGAACAAATCAACACGCTGGTCTACCTGATGGGAGATCAGGCAGACAATATATTTCTGTCATTTACTTTGTCAGCCCAAGATAAAAGGCTGTACGCTAAAGTGGTGAACGCTTTCACAAACCATTTTGTGCTTAAGACAAATGTTATATATGAGAGGGCGAAATTTAACCTTCGCAACCAACTTGAAGGTGAACTCATCGAAGATTTTATAACGGACTTATATCTATTGTCTGAAAATTGCAACTATGGTACACTCAGGGAAGAGATGATCCGCGACAAAATTGTGGTTGGCGTGCGGGATCGAAAGCTGTCGGAGAAACTACAATTGGTGACCGATTTGACCTTAGAAAAAGCAGTCGCGGAGGTGAGACAGCACCAGGCTGTTAGAAAACAACAAATTGAGCTGACTTCTTCTATACACAAACTCACCACGGCATCGTCGGTCAGCAACTACAAAAGTGTTAAACAAAGAAATAGCACCGAAAACAAAAAACAATCGCAAAGCAATAACAGGTGCATGTGGTGTGGCTCTCACACAGTGCATGTGAAACAAATTAATTGCCCAGCAAAAGGGAAGAAATGCAATAAATGCAACAAGTTTAATCACTTCGCAAGTGTTTGCTTAGCAAAGGACAGGAAATCAAATGTAAATCAAATGCATACCGTGGACGCGAATTTTTTAGGAATGCTGTCGATAAACAACGTTGACAGTTACACGTCATGGAACGTGAACGTACTAATAAACAAAGTTGAAATGAATTTTATGGTCGACACGGGGTCGCCCGTCGACGTGATATCACACGAAATATTCAAGAACAAGTTCCGTAATACAAAACTAAACAGAGCAAATAGAATAATTACGGGTCCGGACGGTCGAAAATTAAACGTCGTCGGAAAATTTGAGGCTAACCTCAAATTTAATGGTACCGAAATAACAAATGAGGTATATGTTATTGACGGGTTGAGGAAACCGCTACTAAGCTTGAGCTCTAGCGCCAAATTGCGGTTAATATCAAAAAGTGAGCTACACAATACAAATATTAAAACAAACGACTTAAAACGCTCTAGTGTAGACATTCACAAGGAATATCCAATGCTTTTTAATGGACTGGGGTGTTTTAAGAAATTTGAATGCGAGATTAAGATTAAACGCGACGCGAAACCATTTCAAGTTTTCACAGCTAGACGCGTTCCAATTGCGCTAAAAGAAACCCTAAGAAAGAAACTTGATGAAATGGTCAAATTAAATGTAATAAAAAAGGTGGACGAACCTACTCCTTGGTGTGCTCCGCTCGTAATTGTTCCCAAGAACAACGGGGAGATTAGGTTATGTGTTGATCTAACGAAGCTAAACTCTGCTCTGGAGCGGGAAATCCATCCGATGCCAGTAGCTGATCACACACTGGCGCAGCTCTCAGGAGCGAAACTTTTTTCGAAATTAGATGCCAACTCTGGATTTTGGCAAATCAAGCTTAATGAGAAATCACAGCCTTTAACAACATTTTTAACGCCTTTTGGAAGATATTGGTTTTTGAGATTACCATTTGGCATTTCGTCTGCACCTGAAATATACCAGAAGCGAATGCAAATAATTCTGCAAGACATCACGGGCGTTGTATGCCAAATGGACGACATTTTGGTATTCGGTGCAAAGGCAAGGAGTCACGACGAGGCCTTACGCCAAGTTCTTAACAGACTGAAGGAAAATGGCGCCACGCTCAACAAAGATAAATGCGAGATTGGAATAACCTCCCTAAAGTTTCTGGGTCACTACATCGACGCAGAGGGAATTCGTCCAGGGGATTCAAAATTGAAAGCAATCGAGGATTACCCAACGCCAACGAACATCACAGAGCTTAAACGGTTTCTCGGTATGGTGAATTATCTTGGAAAATTTATCCCGTTTCTTTCAGATCTGAGTCAGCCTTTGAACGAACTACTGCGTGGCAATATTGCATATCAGTGGGATACGCCGCAGGAAACGTCATTTAACAAGCTTAAGGAAATGCTGATCAAGGCTCCTGTCCTGAAATTATACGACCCAAGGCACAAAACTATACTTTCATCAGATGCCTCGTCATATGGGCTCGGTTCAGTTTTACTACAGGTAGACGAAAACGAAACACTTCGGCCTGTAGCATACGCATCCAGAACGCTTTCTCAAGCAGAAAGAGGCTATGCGCAAATTGAAAAAGAAGCGCTGGCGATTACTTGGGCGGCTTGTGAGAAGTTCCCAGAACTGCTTACTGGGATAGACTTTTTCATTGAAACAGATCACAAACCGCTAATCGCCATTTTCACAACAAAAAATTTAGATGAGCTTACACCGCGCTTACAAAGGTTTCGCATGCGAATGATGCGCTACGTTTACGATATCTACTACACCGCGGGCAAGTATTTAGCCGCAGCCGACGCACTATCGCGTCACCCTTTGGACACGCAGGAAGACGAAAACAGCATAGAAGAAGACCTTCGTACATTTGTCAACAGTATAACAAGCGCTCTACCAGTTACACATTCCAAATTAGACAGCATCAGAAAATCTCAAAGTCGAGATGGTATATTAACTAAAGTAGCCAGCTATTGCCTAAGCGGTTGGCCAGATAGGTATAAAATCGAGCCTGAAGTTCGCCCGTACTATCACGACCGGTACAACTTGTCGGTGAATGACGAAATATTAATGCACAGCTGCAGTATTGTGATCCCTGTCGAACTCCGTCGCGAAATCCTGGAGCGAATACACGCTGGCCACATGGGAGTAGTTAAATGCAAAGCCAGAGCAAAGGAATGTGTGTGGTGGCCAGGATACACCAAAGATATTGAAGACTACGTGAAAAAGTGCTCAATATGTATCCAAAACGTAACCCCTCGACGGGAAAGCTGCATCTCTACCGAGACACCAGAGCGGCCTTGGCAAGTTGTGGGAATAGACCTGTTCTACCACAATTCCTCGTGTTATTTGATTGCGAGCGACTACTTTTCGAGATATCCCGAAATAGCTCGATTGGAGAACCAAACCACAAACTGTGTTATTAATCACATTAAATCTATTTTTTGCAGACACGGCGTGCCGGAAGTAGTGAGGTCTGATAATGGATCGCAGTTTCAAAGATTAAACCACTCTGCCTTTGCAATGTTTGCTAAGCAATGGGGATTCCAGCACATTACTTCATCTCCGCGATACCCTCAAAGCAATGGGTTTATCGAATCCATGGTGAAAACAGTTAAATCTCTCTTGAAGAAAAATGAAGATCCATATTTGGCGTTGATGGAGTATAGATCGACCCCGTTAGCCAATGGCCTATCGCCATCGGAAATGGTGATGGGCAGGAAGATTCGTACCACCTTAATAACTACTGACCAACAACTTCTCCCAAAATTTGAACTTACGTCAGCGATTTTAAAAGATAAAACACTTAAAACGAAACAAGCAGAAAACTACAATCGAAGACATGGCGTAATCCGGCGTGAGTCCTTTAAGGAAGGCGACGTAGTTTGGGTGCGCGATTTAGGCGTATGGGGGAAAATATTAAAACGTGGGGAAACACCACGGTCCTACATAGTATTCACTGATCGTGGTAATTTTCGACGTACCTCGTTTCACCTCGTTGCTGCTGGGTGCAAAGATTTGCCCTATGTACCTGGCGAAATAGGCGAGATGACAACAAAAGTTTCCACTACCCCACCGACTTCCTCAGAGGCCCCACAAACAGACATCGACACAATAGTAAAAGCTGCAACTACTAACCCGGAAGCAGATATTCCCCGATATGTAACAACGACAAGATCTGGACGGGTGATAAAACAACCAGAAAGGTTTACATCGTAAAATCATTGATTTCTGTTATTATCTTGAATTTTCAAATATTAAATAAAAGAGATACAAAATTTTATATACTTATATATATTTATATATACACATATATATATATTTATATATACA